TTATGAGGAATTATCATGTTATCTATATTATACTATACCTGACTTCATCGAGATACAAATTGTTTGAGCAACAAATTGCATCCTTCCATGCCACCTTTAGAAATTTTTCTAAAGCATTCATTTCGCTTCCAGGAAAAAGAGATTTTGATTGATTTTTGAGGTCAAACGATTTAAGAATCCGCAAGTAATGGATTCTGTTAAAACAAAAGCAAAACTTTCTTCTTTTCAGTATTGATTCTAATTCAATTCAGTTATTTTGTCCTTCCATCTCTGCCTGAAAATTTCTTTCAGGCGTTAGTTTTCTTTTCCAAAAAAGCGGAAAAGAGAGAGGAAGTCGATTTTTGAGGTCTAACATTTAATTTCAAGTTTATTGTATCACGGGTTCTGTTAAAAACAGTGGYTTTTTTCTAGTTGTAATATTGGCTTCAAATTTCCCATAGTTATTGTTCTTGAACATTTTACCACTAGTATCACAGATGTTAGAACATATTCCATTTGGCCACAAGAGTCGAACATTATCTGTATATTTGAGCCAAAAGTTGACTTACTTCCTATGAGTGCTTTTGTGATATGTAGACATATGGAAACTGCCCGTCTTCAATGTCGAGATACTAGAGGCAGAGGCCTCCTTAAAATTGTGGAACAACAGGTACATGTCGTACAAGCAAGAAATGTGCAATGCCATGAATGCTGGAGATGAATCAAAAACCAACTCTGCAAACATTGTGATTAAAAAGTATAAGCAGGTCTAAATTTTTTGAAATTTTGTTTATTGAACTTGATAGTTGCATGTTTCAAGGAATCACCCCAAAAGTTGAATTTGAAATCGAGTCATATCTTCACTTGCATCTGTTTGTATTGTTTGATTCATGCAGATGTTTTATGAGGCTGAGGATTTTGCAACAAGTACTAGGAAGATTGAGGATCTGCATAATGAAGCCCTTGCAATTTATCATGTAACTTACGATTATGCTCGAAGCACTAATGATGTTAAGAAGTGTGGGTTTGCATGGAAGGTAGCTGGTGAGGCCCTCTGCTCATTTCATGGAATGAAGACCCCTGGAAAGTCAATTCSTTTCAAACTASCTGTTTTATYAAWGTTCATTTAGAAGGATRTGTATATATGTATATATATGAATACATTTAGCTATATATAGGCATTKGAGTCCTTGTGTAGATGGCCAATATCATTGTATTTATAGGAGCGATGCCCACTGTAATATATATGGACTTCTTCTGCCCACTCATTTCCTTTCTGTCATATATGAAGCAGGACGAGACTTTAGTACTAATTATATAGTCATCATAGTTATTGTTGGAACTTCGTGGGATTGATCCCACATGATAGTAGGAAATTATTGGTGGGTTGGTCCATTTTGATTTGGGCTTGGATATGCATGATTGCATATACACCCAGGACCATAGCATAAGTGTGGGCGAATTTCGTCTTAGGACACTGCATTTATAGTCCTCTATCCAATTGAAGTTCTACAGCAAGTTCTTGATTTGGTCGAACTGGTTAGTGTTCTAATTTGCAAGTTTATCTATCGTAGTTTGTGTTGAAATTCTCTGTTGATAAATAGTGTTTATGTAGTCTTGATAGATTGGTCATAACAGTTATTTTTCTCAAACATTTAATAAACTTTTATCGATTTAGACTAGGGGTGTGTGGTTTTCCATACACACAAAGATGATTTATAGACTTGTTAAAGGTTAGGTCTCACCATCGGACTTTTCACTAAACCTCAAGGACCAAAATTAGAGTTTACTCTAAGTTTTATATATATGAAATTTCATCTGTGTTTGCATATATGAAACTCCATATTTACATGTGAATGTTTCCCATATGAAACTTTTTTTTTATTAAGAGTTGTAACCAATTGTTTCATATACTTGATTCATATATGAATTAACAATCAATAAACAACATCATATTTAACAAATTAATTCAGTAGTTTATATCCATATATTGACTCCCATGAAAAATGGTCTAATAGAATTCTTATACGAAAATACATTTTAATGTTATTATCGCTTTTGATTTCAAACAAATAAGATTTTTAAGAAAAATGATAAATCTGTTAAATATGGTAGATATTAAATAAAAACAATCAAAACAACAGTTGGGTTGTTCACTCATTAAAGCAGTACGTGAGCTGGGTTTAAAACGTCAAGAGACAGTTCAATCTATATTTTAATCAATAATAATATAGTAGATATGCACAGTTATCACTATAAACCTGTATTACAACAATTAGAAGATTTTTTGAAAGCACATTTACAATATATTGTAAATACTTTAATAAGTTTATTCTTGAAAGAAAGGAAAAAATTCAAATGTTATCATATTTGAAAATGTGATTCCTATTTTGAGTAATGTATTTTTAGAATTTTCATTTTGATACATAAAATTTTAAATATTTAAATATCTAAATAACCGATTGAAAAATTAACCAATTATCATGCTGATATAACAAAAAATATGGTATCCAAATCCAATTTTTTTCCCCATGCAATATCGCCATTTTGACAACATTGGAATTGATTTAATAGGACACTCCCTATAAATAGACTGTAAATTGATTTTTGAATTT